AAGTCCGCAGACATACCGCTGTGCCACTGGGGGGCACGAATGCAAGACAAATGTCGAGTATTACATGAAGTCATCTCCACAAGTGAAACAAATGACGAGAATATCGCTTTAATGAAAACTTTCAAAGATATTACAACAGATGACGTCGCACGATTCCATACCAAACGGAGCGAAACATATATTACTTTACAAGTTTACACTAAAAAGTGAAAATGATATTTATCTCTTTAGTTAAAGTGTGACTCATCTCAGTCACTCCCTCCTCACAGAACGCATACAGACAAATATAATTTCTGGCTCCAGTTCGGCAGGCGCCAGGGCAGGTTAATAGCATAATATTGTATACATATGCGTATGTGTGTGTGTTGGATTCAATGGCAAGCTCACGTGCACCACCTGCACAGTTTTCTAACATATATATAGAGGGTCAGAACTTTGAATGGATTAGTTATGTACCCACATCCATTAGTTCTCATGGTCAGCCTCTAACTAGCAAGCACTCTTGCACCGTTAAAACTTGCGAAAAGGTTTTACGCCACATTTCTTGGCCTAGGGTATATGGAGATGTCGAATGACAGAAAAATATAACCTAAAAGAATCTACTCTTATATCAACTGTAGATGACCATTTTGAAAAGTTTTGCTGTTGTCTCTATTCTTTTATTTGACGTGGGTTGACCAAGTATTAAAACTGGGGGTTCTGGAGATGGCGAGCCAGGTTCGAACCCTTGCGATGCCCAAATCTATTCCCCCCACTTTAGGCTACGGATGCGTTATAAGAATGACAGTGGCTGGTGGGTGATAGGGTGTTGATGACTAGTTCAAACCTGGAGACAATGGCAGACAGCCTTGGTAGCTTTCCCATAAATACAAGTAATATTCTTCTCTAATGGCAACGGTTATATTATGAAACGCAATATTAAAGGAAGCCACAGCTTTACGATAGGTAGATGTAGAAACTTTCTTTCTCCTCATTTCATACACAGCTCTGAGAAAGAACAGGTTTTTAAAATCTACAATATCCGCCTATCATCCTCATTACGTAAAATTCGCAATGCTTCACTGAAATTACATTAAGGGCCTTGACGTCCAAAAACTCAGAGGATTGGAACAAATTGCTCCTGTATGTCATATTTAGGTACAATTATTCCCCATCTCCTTCTAGCGTCTTTACGCTTTATGAATTTTTGTTTAATAAGCTCGTTACAGATACGTCAGACTTTATGAAACTTCAAAGGGACAGAGATCACAGCATAACTAGTTTTTTGCAGAACATATGGCATGAGTAGAAGCTAGTCAAAGACTACCGCTGTATTCAAATGGTTGAGATGTTTAAAATTGTAAAATGGAATTGATAGTGTTGATGCATCATCTTTTTCGTATTTAATGGTGAAAATGGCAAGAATAGGAGACACAAATGTAAATTTTGGCAGGGTAAAAGTAATCTTCAGCTAAGATAGCTTTATTTTTAAAGGAGTTCAAGGGAGTGCTTGATAAATATTTGAATGATAAGAGCTGGCTTGGAGTATTATATTTTTATTTTAGAGTTTAGTACAGTGGATGGGAAGGTATAAATTTACCAACTGGTCCCTTGTTATCTTTAAATATATGTATATATATATGTAATAAATAAAGCAAAAGCTATTGATAGCGAAACTCTCAATTGTCAGTGCAGCACTGCTAACATGTCAACCGATAATCCTATCCAAACTGGTACCGGTAACTTCGACATTAAAAAGAAAGGGATTTTTAATACAGATAAGCAATTTAACCAAACTGTGTATGAACTTCTTCACTGTAACCAAGGTATTTCATGCCACTCAGAATCATGCGATACACGCCAGAGTAGAACAGATGCAACAGAGGGCGAGTTTAGAGATAAAACATCAAATGTTCCTTCACAAACCTAAAAATACATCGAGGAAATAATTTCAGATTTCTCTCCCTTAAATAAAGAATGGTTTAAAGAAGGCACTTTTTAAGTATTGCCACCAGATAAAAACACAGGTAATTATGTACACACGAGTAGAGAGCACCTGAACCTGAAACACAGCCGTGTGCACGTGAGAATAAACTTCTCATTATAGACTAGATACGACGACTGCATTCTATTCATAGTTGTCAATGTATGGTTATCGGGCGCCATCTTGCTACGGTCATTGTTCTTAGTTACGACTCTGTTCCTATAGGTAAACATAACAGAGTAAATATACAATATGATGTTCAGACTGAAGTAAGCTTCCACAACTTAGATCCGAACTGTACTGTGGACATAACACATCATTGAGTATAGCATGCGTATTTTCTAATTGTACAACAATTTCAAATGATAAAAAAAAGTAAGTAACATTCTTTTCTTAGTAGACCGTGGCATAGACCTACACAATAAACGAAAGATAAAAAAATGTTTGTTGATAAAAAAATTGTATTTTTAAAACTTTATACATTGCCATGAGTAGTGTCATATCACTTTGCACATAAATCCGTTTAAAATAAAACGTTTTTTTCTG